CGTCTACATACTCTAGATCAAACAGTCTGCTATCTGGGAGTAAGTCGATGTCACTCCTTGTACGAGAACGGGGCTGTTACCAAAATGAAATCTATAACAAAGTTAAAAAGAAAAGGAGAGAGAAAAGAGGGTAACCCTGTCAGATCCCAATTTCCGTGGTGAACTCGGGCGAAAAAGTTCCGTAAGCTCGGATTCAGTATCACCGGTGGTTTTTTGTGTGGAACTAAATTGCAGTACAAATCAGTAACGTTTGGACACACCTGTATCGATGGAACTCGTCCGACACGCTGGCCATCGTCAGATCTGTTCCACCTAATGCCTAGAGTTTTGAGACTCCTTCACGGGAATGCATATGATATTAGCGCATACTAGACACAGCATACGTGTAAGGTTATTGCTCCTATCAGTTTCGACAATGGTTGATGGTGCATCAGTGGGAAAAAATCATAAGCATGTTACAGGTATTGTCAACATTGTCAATACCGTCCGGTCTCTCCTGAATTTCAAGCATTTGGGCTATTCCTTTTGGCATGGAATTGATCACCGGGACAGTCAACTCGTATACGTCAGTTTCCTAAAGAACATGCTTTACCCAGGCCTCTGACGACCACTCTCGAGGTAGCTATTTTTCCTCTTTTCAACATTAAAAAAAAAATTTCTTTCGGCTGCGGGCTGTTGGGTGGTAACTGAATAAATTCGACTTTGGAACATGCCGACCTGGAAATTTTATAATTTTGAGGAAACAAAATGCAATGAGTTCTAAAACATTTCCATGGTCAACCTCGTGTGAGATATCATCGTGCATTGGTGTGCGCGAGAATATCTCCATACGGTATTCGCGAAGAAATTTCTTTTCAATATATCGCATCAGGCGTTTACATATTTAAGATGATCACAGTACCGATGTCTGATGGGCCGATTGGAGAGCTCAGTTAATAACGATGACAGGGGTGAGCAAACAGAGCAAACGAGTATGGCAGGGCTGCAGTGATAGTCATAGGGGGGGGGGATGAGAACACAAAGGTTAAATGGACAAACGTTCGAGAGATGAGCAAATTAAATGAAGGTTGTGAGCTAAGACGAGATGGCTGGATGAAGTTACGTAATATACGGTAGAAACTATAGGTCATGCATAGCAAGTGATGTAATCAGGAAGGGACATTAGAGACAACAACAAAATAGATGTTTGGCAGATTTGAAATTCGTATGGTGATTGTGAAAAGTTCAGTAGCCTCGATGGGATTCGAACCCACGCATGGACACCGCCTACGCTCTGTACGCGCATGCTCTACTGTCTGAGCTACGAGACAGACATACATATGGATAGCACTGATCTTTTCACATTCGAATTACTTATCCAACTTCCACATGCATATGAAATCCACCAATTGTCATTTTAGCTGACTGCCCCGACAGGTTTTCCTTAGAATTCACCGGAGTCCACCGAATGAACATATAAGACAAGGTTAATTGCGCAAATGGATGTTTGGCAGATTTGATGTTCGTATGTCCATTGTGAAAAGATGCTATATGCCTCTGGAAGTTGAATGAGTAATTCGAATGTGAAAAGATCAGTGCTATCCATATGTATGTCTGTCTCGTAGCTCAGACAGTAGAGCATGCGCGTACAGCGTAGGCGGTGTCCATGCGTGGGTTCGAATCCCATCGAGGCTACTGAACTTTTCACAATCACCATACGAATTTCAAATCTGCCAAACATCTATTTTGTTGTTGTCTCTAATGTCCCTTCCTGATTACATCACTTGCTATGCATGACCTATAGTTTCTACCGTATATTACGTAACTTCATCCAGCCATCTCGTCTTAGCTCACAACCTTCATTTAATTTGCTCATCTCTCGAACGTTTGTCCATTTAACCTTTGTGTTCTCATCCCCCCCCCCTATGACTATCACTGCAGCCCTGCCATACTCGTTTGCTCTGTTTGCTCACCCCTGTCATCGTTATTAACTGAGCTCTCCAATCGGCCCATCAGACATCGGTACTGTGATCATCTTAAATATGTAAACGCCTGATGCGATATATTGAAAAGAAATTTCTTCCTGAAAACTGTTTTCTACATTATCTATGGGGCTATTTTACGGTTTCTCGATACGATCCGACTTGATAAAACCGTCCAACTGAGGCGTAGTTAAAGCCTACCATACCATGCTAGGTGCTAACCTAGACAGTTCTCCATCCGCAAACACCGGCACTCATGGGGTTAATGTATATGGGGCACAATGCATAAAACTGTGGTGTGTGCGAAGCGCTCCTCCAAATTGGAGCAAGATGCTGCCTGTGGTAATAGCCGTACGATTTTACCCTGCGATCGTGCAACTCGCAGTCTCACTTGACGTGTAATAGACTCGGAGGAAAATTCAACTCTTCCATGTATGCCTTCTTGGCCCCTGAGATTGGGAATATGAAAACTGATGAACAAAATTAGTAAGTTTACAAAACACAGACTGCTCAATTTATGAAACCTAAATAATGGCGAAAAACAGACATCAAATTGTTTATGTGACAAAATATCTTGGAGCCCCCAAATTTAGTTTGAAAATGGTGTTTTTCTGCTCTGATTATCAAATGAGGATAATCAATAGGGTTTGGACAATTGTGCTGTCACATGGTAGGTATGCCACATCACAAATGCGGCAAGTCATTTTCAGACAATCTGATGTTTCTCATTCACTAGGTTGTGTACATGTGTCTGCGTTTGTGTGTGTGGATGCATGTTTCTCTCTTAGTATGTTGTGTTCTGTGAAGGAGCTAATTGACCACTGGGATCGAGTTTTCTTTGATTCACATCAATTGGTGGAACAATGAGGTTTTTGTGCAAACAGCACCATTTTATCGGCTGATTCGCTTTCACTTGAGTGTCATCCCGGGGTCTGTCGTACACATATTGTCGGTCGATGTTACAGCTCTGGTTCACACAAATAATAACCGTGCTCCTGCGTGCATCGTCTTTTGTTTGCTGGCCGTTCCGTTGGTCTATCCATCAACGAGGAAGTGAAGTAAAAAGCTGTGAGTGAGGTCAAATGAGTAAACAAAATACAGCCAAACTGAGGCACGCACAAGTGCCACTAGCGCCACAACATTCACCGGGATCACCTTGTTAGGCTTTTGGTGATAGATAACAAAATGTTCACATCAACTGGTTGATTACTTTGATGGACTCGATCAGGAATCGTCCCTCTTTTTCCTCTTATCCGGTATATTTTCTTCCCACTCTCTTTTGTCTCTCTTTCTCTCTCTGTGTATGTGTGTGCGTATATGCGATAGACAGAACTGGTTGGCCACTGCCGGTGCCGGTGATCATTTGATCAAGGTATGGAACTTCGATCAACCTGCTCCTGGACAATCCGGATGTCCTTCACTGCTCTGCTCCGTTCGTACGAGTAACGTTAGTCGCGTGCGTTGGAGACCAAGTTTTGTAAGTTTGGACTATGTGACCGTTCTGTCCGTATCTATCCATAATCATTAACTGACAGAACTCCTGCGTTTGGTAGTTGTTCTTTTGACGAGGGGAGGGAGGGGAGGGTGTGGACGGTATGCTCAACATGATTCCTGTGGTCTTTTGAAATTTTTTTGCTCATTTTTATGCCTTCTGCCCAATCACTTCGTGCCATCCCGTTGGATACGGTTCGGGCGAAAATACGTTGTCATNCGTTGTCATACACCGGTCTCACATAGACATTGTGCCAATTAGGAAATGAGGTCGCACTGACAGTGAACTAGACATTATTTCAGGTATAAGTATCTCATAGGGTTATTATAAACTGACAAATACAAACAATCTAGAGCCCAAACCGGCAAGTTCCCGTTGACCTTCTCAGTGTCAACTGC